GCACTGAGATAAAAGGCATGCCTTGCCACCATGCCCAGACTAAAAAGCTAAAACTCAGGTTCTTCACAGGGTTGTAGATGGGGCTGTAGACATACAGGGCTATAGACAGAGGGGTTGTAGACAGACAGGGCTGTAGACAGACAGGGCTGTAGACAGGACTGTAGGTCTTTTCTTAGTAGTGTTTGATGTGGGAGGGCCCAGCCCTGTGGGTGGTGCCACACCCCAGGACCATGAAGAACCATGGTCCTCAACCTCTGCACCAGCTCCTATAATTCAGATTCCTGTCCTGATTTCCTCCAATGATGAACTGTAATATGGAAGTGTAAACAAAATAAACCCTTTCCTCCCCCTCCAAAAAATCAGGTTCTTGCCAGGCGGTGGTGGTGCACTCCTTTAATTCCAGCACTCAGGAGGCAGAGGCAGGCGGATCTCTGTGAGTTCAAGACCAGCCTGGTCTACAAGAGCTAGTTCCAGGACAGCCTCCAAAGCCACAGAGAAACCCTGCCTCGAACCCCTCCTCCCCCCAAAAATCAGGTTCTTGGTACAAGAGACAAGAAACATAAATACAACACGAAAGGCCAGGATGATGGTATAGATCTTAATCCCAGTTACTCAGCAGATGGCAAGCAGAGAATCGAAGACTCCAGGCCAGACTGTGCACCTTAGTGAGACTGACTCAAAATCTACAAGAACCAGTGACAGAGATGAAGATCAGTGGTAAACAATTACCTAAATGCACAAGGCCCGAAATTCAGTCTCTGTATTGCAAAAATAAACAAATAATCAAAAGTTAAAACACTATCATCCTAAATTGAAAGCATAAATGTCAATTCTAGATTGTTTACAATTTCTGCTGTTCTACACATTGAAAGGGAATAAAAATTCATTTTATTTATTTATTTTTTTTGAGACAGATTCTCTATATACCCCTAGATGGCCTGAAACCAGCTGTGTAGGCCAGGCTGGCCTCAAACTCATAAAGATCCACCCTCTGAGTGCTGGGATTAAAGACATACACCATTGCTAGGCAAGGTGGCACATGCCTTAATCCCAGCACTCAGGAAGCAGAGGCAGGTAGATCTCTGAATTCAAGGCCAGCCTGGTCTACATAGCTAGTTCCTGGACAGTCAAGGCTACACAAAGAAACTTTGTCTTGAAAAAAACAACAACTACCCAACCAAGACAAAGAAGCAAAAGCCAAGGAGTCAGGGGGCCAGGGGGTCAGGGGGTCAGGCAGTTGAGGGTCAGGGGGCCAGGGAGCTGGCTCCTGCCGTGTCTAGGCAAGAAAGGACAATTTCAACTGGGATAGTCAGATAGAAAAGAAGGACTGGGTTGTGTTGGCAAGAGCTGGAGACAGATGATGTGGGGCTGAGGGAAGGGGAGGAGAGAGGGGGAGAAGGAATAAGGGGTGCAGGTTTCTAGTCTGGACAATCAGGCAGGCAGATGGTGGTGTCACTCACTGACTGAGAAGGGAAAGGAGGAGGAAAAACAGGTCTGGAAGTTCAGCTTTGGAGCTGATGTTGTGAGTGAGTGCCTGAGGAATGTCTGGGAATGGATGCGATGTCTTGTTAAGATTATGGGGGCTAGGCTGGGGCTCAGACCTGACTTCCCCTCATCCACCAAAATCCAGGCGGAGTTTCCCCCAACTCCGAAGGCAATGTATATGTAGCTTCTCCCTACGATTATAGACCACTTCTCCCCTAAGTTGGCCACAGCACCAGCCCCTTTTAAACACTCAGATATCAGGTCAGATGTCATCTAAATAGAAAATCCATCCCCAGGATCCAAGCTACAGTCTGTGTCAAGACAGCTAAAGTTTCACACTGGTCTGATTTTGTCATGATGGTATTGCATAAAATCAACTTCCAGAAGAACGAAGGAAAGAAGAAAAGTTGGTTAACATGTAAAACTGGATTTGGAAAGAAAGAATGAATCCTCGTTACCATAGGGCTTCTATAGATTACTATAATAAACAATAACTCATATTTCAAAATGGTTGGTAAAGAGTTTGTATACATGCTTGAAGACCTGCATTCCATCCTCAGAACCCATGTAAAGGTAAAAGGAGAGAAGTAACTCCACAGAGCTGTACTCAGACCTCCACACATGTGCTGTGGCACACATGCCCCCCATTATGCTCACACACAAAATAATAACAGATACTTAATTTAATTTGAAAATGAAAACAAAATGGAGGATTCCTGAGTACTGACACATAAAGTTGATATCTGGCTCACACACACACACAAAGAAGGAGAAGAAAAGATTTTTAATATTCCTACCAAAAACAGCAACAATAACAAAAAATGTGAGGTAACTATCCTGACCGGATCATAGAATACATGAAATTCCAAGCATCAATAACAAATAAAAAATGTTAAGCTTCCAGAAACACAGCGCACATGGCAATGAACATTCATTTCTCACCCAGGAGTCTGTGTGTCAGCTGGGTCAGGCTGGGCTCCAAGCTTTGTGTCATGCACAGTTGCCTCACATGTCTGTTCGTTCTATGTCCAGCTGAAGGACTCCCTGATGCCTGGCGTTTTCATGGCCAAGGACAATTGCTCAAGAGGTGGAAAGGGAAATACTCAGTGGCTTGAAGCAAGTCACATGACTAAAGTCCAGCATCAACAGGGTGAGGAAGTATATTCCTCTTGAAGTGGGGAGGGCAAGGTGAAGTAAACATTTGCTAAGCAATAATACAATCTACCAAATGACCCAGTGAAACGCGCATTCTTCCATTTGGGCAAGAAACTGCTCTTGCCTTTACTGTTCGATAGACTGGACATGCAGGACCCACAGGAAAATGACTGCTGAACTTGATGAGACAGTCCTACAGGGCTCCTGCTTCAACCCAAGTTCTTTTTCTTCTCTTTCTCCTAGAGAGCCAGAACACAGAGCAATCCATCCCTTAGGAAATACCACCTTCTATGAATGAATGAGTGGAGAAAATGTGTCTTTCAAAGCAAAAAGATCTCCCCCCCCTCTACAAATGAGGAAGCTGGGGATCACAACAGGGAAGTGACTGGCCCCACAACATTGAAACCAGCCTGTAAGGCTCCTTCTGTTCAGTTCCCTACATATAAGGAATTGTGCAGCAAAAACACCACTTTCGTGGTAATCAGGGCCATATTACTCACCCTGTCCTCTCACTAAGGCTTGGTGAACAGATATAGAACCATTTGGCAAGATCTCTCTTGGAAACCAGGTAGTACTTTGGTTTGCCATTTCCAGTTTCCCAAGCCCCAAATGCTTAGTGTATGTTGAATGGATGAGTCAGCCATACTGTGAAATTTTAACTGCCGCTTAAGTGTTCTGTGAATTCTGTGGTCTGTCCCATGGGGGCCTACTCTAAGGTACAGACGGTGAGTGAGCCTGAATACCAAACACACAATGAGCTAAAAAGTGACGGGGGGGGGGGGGGGGTGTCACCGGAAATGTTTAAAAGGGCATGAATCAGATAAGCAATCGGCAAACCTTTTAAGTCATGGGTTACTTAAGACCTTAAACTGCTTTTAGGTTTGTGAGTTGTGTAGTGTAAATAACTCAGTGAATACAGTTTGCTTCTATAGGTATGAATTCAGGTATGTTTCTGCTTGGATAGGCTACAATCGGAAGTGGGTGTGGCATATGGATCCAATGGGTATTTCCCATCTGGAAATATTTTCAAGTTTATACTAGTATGCAAAAAGCAATGCCTTACTTGTTGGTTGGGAAACTCTTGAAATCCTCCTCCTCCAGAATCTACTCCTGCACATTTGCCGGAAGCCTGTTTTCAGAAACAGAGTCATTTTCTAGCCACTCCTAAAGTGGCCAAGGCAGTGAATACCTACCATGTGCCAAGTGCTGAGAGAGCCACCAGGGTGATGGGTGGGGAAACAGGTGGTGGACAAAGTCGGCTAGGCCCACATTCATCCCATAGCTGACATGGATGGCGCTAGACCATGAGCCAGACAGCGTGCTAAGTGTTCCTCATGGATTATCACGTTTAATCCTTGCAACAAGTTGATGAGGTCGGCGCTATTATTACACTGCTTTATAACTGTGGAAACCAAAGTGCAGATAGGCAAAGGAAACTGCCCAAGGTCACATAACTAGCAGATGTCAGAACTGACATTTGACTCTGGGCCTGTGCTCTGAAATGCCCCCTACACCGCCTCCTGTTAAGAGCTCGTCCACATTCCTGGAATATTAAGTGGTAGAGTCAGAAATCACAGCAGAAACCCTCATCCGCCAGGCAAGCCTCTGCCCTGAATTGATAAGTCACCTTTTTCTCTTCTAACCCTCCTCATTTGTGGCTGCTATGCTAACACGCTGGAGACTTTAGGGAGTTACCCTGAGCCTCCTTTTCCATGGCAGCAAAGAGGGACATTCCTACCCTAAGAAGCTGAAGGGGGCTCATTTTAGAAGACAGTATCCTCCTATCAAACATGGTAAACACTCACTCAAGATGTGTCTGTGTGCTTCCTGATTTCTAGGATTGGGTACAGTTAGCCAAGTGGCTCCAGGAGCGAATCCATCCAACAAGTCACTAGAACTTGTGAAGTGCTGGAGGGCAGGGGCAGGAAAAGGCCGGAGGCGTGCACTGGGTAAAATGTCAAGGGTTGCAAAGTGCCCACAGCTCTCAATTGAGGGAACACTGGAACAAACAATCCCCAGAAGGAGGCGGCTTGTTCGTCATCTTTCCTGTTTTTCCAGCTTGGCCCAGTTCCAAACCCTCATCTTAATCTTGTCAGGATTTTGGCCCTCTGCCCCAGGAAGGAGCTGCCAGAAGGCTCAACATGAGCCAAGTCTTCAAGGAAGTGATGTCTTTTGTGGGTCAGGAGAAAGCGAGCAGCTTTCTGGAAGGGAGAAGATGGCAAGGACAGAAACTGGCAAGAGCCGTCTAGCCAATTCCCCCTTGAGCAGCACAAAGGCTAAGGGTTAGAACGACGCAAGGTTTACTGATGGTGTCATTAGCAGGCTAGGGGTAGCAGTGTGTACATCCCCTAGCTACTCACCCACTCCTCGGGACAAAGCAGCCTTCTCTCCCCATTCCCTCAACTTCTTCCAGAAATATCTCTTTCTGCCTGCACTGGAGACTTCAAAACATTAGGTGTGGATCCCATAGACACTGGAAGAGGACACTGGCTGTAAAGACATTAGTGAAAAGACTGTAGCTTTATTAGTTACTTTTCCTATTATGAAAATAGATGCTGACAAAAGCAATTTAAGGGAGAAAGGGTTTTCTGGTGGTGTGGCTCAGTTTGAGGGTAAAGTCCATTGTAGCAGGGAAGTACTGGTAGTAAAAGGGCAGACAGCTGGACACAATCAGCAGTGGAAAAGCAGAGGAGAGGAATGCTCATGTTTATCTTTTTCTCCTTTTCATATTGCCCAGGATCCCATCCCAGAAAATGGTACCACCCACAGTGGGTGAATTTTCCCAGCTCAGTTAACCAATCAAGAGAATTCCCTCCCAGGCACGTGCAGAGGCCTGCCTCTAGCTGAGTTCCAGATCTCCTATGATAACAACTGAGATGGACCATTACACTGGCCATGTAGGAACTAGCAGTTAGCATGTCCCGAGCACCTTCTGTGTGTCTGTTCAGAGCTAGACACTTTTAACCTGTTATGTCATCTCATTGGCTCACTAGCCTTGAGAAGATTACACCCCCATTTTGTAGATGAGTCACCTAGAGGAGACAGCTCCTTTTCAACTCTACCCATAACTGCTCTCACGATTGAGCATGGCCGTTTGTGTACCCCTCATATTTCTGGAACTCTTGAGTTGATCTAGCATCTCCTCCTCCCACAGCTTTCTGGTTCCCAGTCACATCTTCCATATTCATAACCACGATCAACAGCGTTCATCTACTCATCTCCAAGGAGCAGCATGGACCTTGGGCTCAACTCTGACTCTCTCCCAGACACAAGATTTTCTCTGCTCCAAAATTTGTAGCGTACATCAGAATCCATGTTAATGTAATTAATGTTAATAACATTTTAAACCAATTTTTCAAAAACGCTGCTATTCCAACATGTAATCAATGTAAAAATTATTGACATTTTGGGGCTGGAGGCTGACTCAGCAGTCAAAAGCACTTCCTGTTCTTGTGTTCAGTTCCCAGAATCCCCATGTCAGCTCAAAACATCTGTAACTCTCCAGTTCCTGGGGACCTAGTACTCTGTTCTGGTCTCTTCAAAGACATCATGTACATAGTACGACATAGATGCAGGCAAAACAGCCATACATGTGCAATAAAAATAAATGCATTTAAAGCATTATTGATATTTTAGATCTTGTATGTATCTTACACTCATAGTCCATCTTGATTTGGACAATCCAGTAACATCACCAGTCAGTGGCTTCCAGATTTAACAACACATCTTTAAAGAATGTTTAAAGCTGGCTGACCTGTTTCCTGTTCTGTGGGACATTAATTCTGAGAAATATTCAAGGCATTCCACAGGGGGAAAACAGTAGTTTAAGTCAAATAAGTATTGAAAACAGTAACAAAGTGAAACCAAGTTTTCTACTTTAAGGATCTCCCAGAGTCTTCTCTGGGCTCATGTCAAATGTGATACTAGAAACAGAACAGAAAGCATGTAGCATTTCCCTCAGCTTATCTGAGCTCAGAGTTCTGTCTTCAGAAAACATTTCTGAGGACTGGTGTCCAGAGGAGCATACCCTTGCAAATGTGGTTTGGGGCATATCTTTGGCACAGTAGATCTCACGATCCCCAAAGAAAGAACTTGGAACTCAAGGAACCACCTCGAGTGTCAATGTACTTGAAACATGACTACTGGATTGACATACTCTGGGAAACTAGAGAAGACAGGACTGGAATCGGTTGGCAAAAGTTCCAGCATATTTAAGTTTAAAACAAAAAGGGTTGTATGTGCATGTGTGTGTGTGTGTGTGTGTGTGTGTGTGTGTGTGTGTGTACATGAGTACCCCAGTACCCATGCAGAGTTCAGAGGACAGCTTTTCAGGATGTTAGTTCTCTCCTTCCACCTTGCTTTTAAGGCAAGGTCTCTGGTTATTTCTGGCACTGGGCTGCACACTAGTCTGAGAGTTGTTTGAGCTATTGGAGTGCTGGTGTTACACAAATGTACCATCACATCACAGCTATCTTTTCTATTTTTTATTCCATTGGGTCTCACTATGTAGCCCTGGCTGACCTGGAATTCACTATGTAGAGTGGCCTCACTATGTAGGTAACCTCAAAATCACAGATATCCTTGCTTCTGCCAAGTGCTGGGATTAAAGGTATGAACCACCATGCCAGGTCTCATATCTGGCTTTTTGTGTGGGTAGCAGGGATTGAGTTAAGATCGCCAGGTCATTTCCCCATCCTCAGCCCATTTTTATGTGCAGTTTTTCATATTGTGCATTGATAGACTTTCATAAATTGCTTTTTTGATGATAAGCTGCACTAATCAACTAAGACAAAAATCATGTGACTCATAAACCCAAGTAAAACTTAACAGGCTAGTCTGAGATTTGAGTTGGGGAAGAGGGGGGTTAACCACCAGTCAGGTGTTTTTCCCATATAGAGTCTGAACTGTATGTTGCTCCCTAAAGAGCAACTAAAAGTTACTTGTGTTGCAGAAAGGTCCACAACCATCAAAATCCAGAGAGAAGAAGGAATTAAACCAGTTACCTTATAGCACCCAGGAGCCCATAAAAATTGTAGGTGGATGTACCTGCAAGCTGAGGCTTTTCTGAATTGGATTGTGTCCTGGTGCCTATCAGAGATCCTAGCACAGAGTAAGACACTCAGCAACTGTCTTCTTCCTTCTTCTTAGATTTCACTTGTGACTTTGGAACCAGAAATGCCCAGGCCCACTGTGAAAAGGACTTCTGTGTTCCATTTAGAGCCAGCAAGGGTCACAGAGGCAAACAAAGGTGGGCTAAGAATGGAAGCGGAAATGAAACCCAACCATAGCTCACATGTACTCAAGCAAAGAAGCCACCTGTGGTCGGTTGAAGTGTGGCTGGGGTAGAAAGGGTGCCAGAGCAATGGAGGCATTAAAGACGGCCGATTTCAGGTGGAGATGGGGGCAATCAGAGGTAACAGCAGTTAAGAATAACAAGCAATGTGTGGTAGGGTGAGGGCAGCGTGGGTCTAGGTAGGGGGAAGGCGGGCTTCAGGTGGTAGAATCGGGAAGTCAAAGAAAACAGCAGTCCATAAGCTACAACCTTTGCGCAGAAGTAACCAAGTCTTGATTTGGAACTATGAGGCACCGGCAAAGCATGTAGCTCAGCAGTTCTCTCATCTGGAAGACTGGGACTGTAATAGTTCCTTCCTCTTAGGGTCATCGAGAGGATGAAGTCAACTGATGCATACAATATCTACAGCTGGGCATAGCCAGGTGCACAGACACTCAGGAGGCTGAGACAGGAGGATTGCTTGAGTCTAAAAGTGCACAGCCAGCTTGAGCGGCAGAGCAAGAAGCCCATTTCAAAAACAAAATATTGTATACATCCTGTAGTTTGTTGTAAATAAATAACAAGTGTTGATGATATGAGAAGAAGAAACTTCTGGCTTCTGAAAGGAGCTGAGGTAGCCCATCTGGAGAGTCAACAACAACCAGAAATCCTGGGGGGGAGCAAGAGAGACACTCCCCGGAGGAGAGGCTCTGACTACAGAAACACATGGATGTCTATGCCAAGTGCTATGTGTAGATGTTCCATGTTCTGGGAGGAAGATGACCCATAGCATATTAGCTTCTCAGAGAACCTGATGGCACATGTGCATATACACATTTTAAAACTGCTTAGCTAAAAAAAAGGAAGCAGATGAGACAAGAGGCCTACACTCATGCATGAATGGAAATAGCGAAGTCCATGAGCCCAGGACATGTAGTAGGGGTAAAGAAAGCAGCAAAGGAAACAGAAGGTTTAGAGAACCAAGCCAGCTGGTAGCAGATGGGATAGGAGTTAGCTCAGTTATCATGTAGACCAGAGAAGGTTCACAGGGCTGTTGACTGAAGTTTGAGTGAGTTGATTGATGGATAGGTAGGAAAACTATGTTTCTGAGGGAATGGGGGGGATAATAAAGACCCTGACTGTGTTTATGTCCTGCTTGACACATTAGAAGTTTATTGGTAGCCCAGCCTGTTCTACAGAAGCAAGTTCCAGGACTGTCAGGCCTACACAGAGAGACCCTGTCTCAAAAAAAAAAAAAACAAACAAACAAAAATAAGTTTACAGCTGTCCATACTTTATTCATCTTTTCAATAAATGTTAATTGAGTACCCTACATGTGCAGGCACTGCTGTGAATGGTAGAAGTTTAGCATTAAGTTATGTAAGACTAGAGATGTGCCACCATTTGTAGAGTGCTTGCTTGGTGCACACAAACGCCCAGAGTTTGATTCCCTAGCACCCCATAAACCAGAAGTGACGGAGAACCAAAGCAATCTCAGAACTCAGGAGGCAGGAGGGTGAGAAGTTGAAGATCATCCTAGGGTGCAAAGGCAGCTCTGAGGACAGTCTTGGCTACATGAGACGGTACCTCAAAAACACAAAACAGCGAGGTGGTGGCGGCACACACCTTTAAACTCAGCACTCAGGGGCATAGTCAGGCAGATCTCTGAGTTTGAGGCCAGCCTGGTCTACAGAGCAGGTTCTAGGACAGCCGGGATGGTTGCACAGAGAAACCTTGTCTCAAAACAAGCAAACAAACAAACAAAAAAAAACCTGTCTTCAAAAAGATTATTTCTTATAGACAGGCACTGTGTCACTGCCTTTAATCCTGGCATTTTGGAGGCAGAGATGGAGGCAGGCTGTCTGTAAGTCCCAGGCCTGGCTGGTGCATAGCTAGTTCTAGGTCAGCTAGGGTTACATAGTGAGACCTTGTCTTAAAAGCAAACAGAAAGATTACATTGTAGTTGAGGGGAGTGTATGAAAAGCAATAAACAAACAGGAAGATATTTACATATATTTGAGTACTTGGGAGACAACACAGGAGTGGTGGGTGGCAAGAACTAAGTGGTTATCATCTCGAACAGAGTAGTCACGAGCAATGTCCCTGAAAATGAGATCCAAGAGGAAAGGGACTGGGGTATGGACATATCTGAGGAAAAGAGGTTGTAGGCAAAAGTATCCCCAAATGCAAAGGGCCCAGGGTGTCGGGCAAGCACATTAGAGATCCATATAGAGATCCAGCTGGCTAGTAGATGGTATTAGCAGGTGAGTGTCAAATAAGGCTGAGAGGGAGGTAGGTAGAGCAGGTCTGGAAGAGGGACATAAAGACTTTGACCTTCCTAAGTGAGATGGGAGTCACTAGAGAACTTTTAAGTAGCAGTGTGGATGCTGCATCCCGAAAAGGTAATGCTGGCTCAAAGGATCACTTGCTCTGGATGTAGGCATGGACCAGTGGGAGGAACACAAAAGCATAATACACCATTGGGAGGCTCCTGCATTACATGTCTCCAGGTGGAGAAGATGGAGATTTGGGTTAATGTGGAAACAAAGAGAATGGTGAGAGATTTTCAGCACTTGAGTATTTGAAGGTGATATAAACAAATTTGTTGACAAATTTAGTTAACAGCAAGCACCAAGGATAACTCTAGGTTTTTGTCTGAGCCATTAACAATAAGGAAGAAACAGGTTTTGGAGGAAAGAGAAATTTGATTTGGGGCACATTATGCTTCAGAAGCACAGTGGAAACCCAAATAGAAATGCCGGCTAAGCATCTCTCCACCTGGAGGGAGAGGAGATAGATGGAGTAACCTATCAATTACAACATGGACTTGTGGAACCTTGTAAGAAAACCCCAAGGACAGAGAATCCAGCCTTACATACTTGGTGGAAAAAAGACGATGTAAGGGTCTGAAAATTCCCTCAGTGACCTTGAATAATCCTCAACACAGCTCTTCTGCTGGTAGCACAATTTATTTGAAATGTATTTATTTTTCTTATACATTTGTGTTCAGAACCAGGAAACAGAACACTAGGAATGTATTTGCACAAATCTCTACAGAATGTCTACATCTAGGAGCAAACCAAAAGCAGACGCGGCTACCAGCTCTGGATGTTGGAGAGGCCCAGGGCTTAACTCAGATCTGCATTGTCCTTCTTTTGTGCCATTGATTCCTTTTTTCTTACCATTCTGAATACCAGTACCAAGCAGTTTTTAGTTGTATCTGTAACCAGAGCCCTGCTCAAAGATGTGGATATCCAGATGCTTAGCCATACTGAACTCTGACCCACAGCAGTACTAGCAGGGCCTGACATCAAACAGGCATGAAGATATGTTAGAGTAACTTAACTACATTGCATAAACCGACAAGGAACATCTGTCTTCCTCCCTTCAGATTGTCTTTCTCTAGATTCACTGCCAGAGGCCACTGCTGGTACCCAAAGAAGAGTCCTGAAAAGACAGAGATGTCTCCTGCAGGCCTTTTGGAGAAAAATATCTTTAGGACCCTGAAGGTTAACTAACCTGAAAAACTAGTCTTCTGAGTCAGTCCTTAAGTGCTTTCCTGGGGGTATGGGCAAAGAGCTGTGAGAGTGAGCTTGGAAGCGGCTTGTGGCTTGTTAGAGGCAAAGAAGGCTGTCTCCTTCAAAGGAATGTGTCTCCTCTACCTGACCCAGAGTCTCTGATGCTAACTGGGTTAGTGCTTTTTCAAAGAGGCTGGGATGATCCAATAGCTCTGAACTAGAAATTAGCAGACCCTGTCTCTTATTAGACAGCAGTGTGTCCTGTTCATCACACACACACACACACACACACACACACACACACACACACACACACACACACACACAGGCTACTCCAGTTACTACTGCACTACATTCCTCTCTGTTTATAGTGAAACCTTCTGAACTACTTGTTTAAACTTGCTACCTCCACTTCCTGATCTTCTACTCATTTACCAAGCCAGGCCCATCCCTAAAATAAGGCTGTATTTTCAGGCCCTCCCAATGACCTCATCTACTCAATTACTTCAGGTATTACTTCAATGCTGTCAACTTCCAGTCCCTCTCCTGAGCTCCAAAGCCGTGAGTCCTACTGCCTACCACACATCCTGACTCAGCTAAAACACAATCACTTTAAGCTCTACATAGGCAGAGCTGAATTCATCATCTTTTTCTCAAACCAAGTTGTTCTGGCTAGTTTTATGTCAACTTGACATAAGCTATAGTCATCTAAGAGAAGGAAGTCAATTGAGAAAATGCCTCTATAAGATGGGGTTGTAGGCAAGCCACTACAGCATTTTATTTTATTTTCTTCATTTTTTTTGTTTTGGTTTTTTGAGACAGGGTTTCTCTGTGTAGCCCTTGTTGCCCTGGAACTTCACTTTGTAGACCAGGCTGACCTCGAATTCATAGATATCTACCTACTTCTGTCTCCTGAGTGTTGGGATTGAAGGTACGAGCAACCACTCTTGATCTATATTTTCTTAATTAGTGATTGATGTGGGAGGGCGTAGTCCATTGTGGGTGGGTCTACCCCTAGGCTGGTGGTCCTGGGTTCTATAAAACAGCAGGCTGAGCAAGCCACGAGAAGCAAGCCAGTGAGCAGCATCCTCCATGGCCTCTGCATCAGTCCCGCCTCCAATTTCCTGCTATCTTTGAGTTCCTGTCCTGACTTCCTTCAATAGTGAACAGTGATGTAGAAGCACGAGCCAAATAAACCCTTTTGTCTCTAAGTTGCTTTTGGTCATGGTGTTTTGTTACAGCAATAGCAGCCCTAACTAAGATATGGGTCAACTCTCAGTATTCCTTGTTCTTGTGAATTAATTGTACCTCCAACCCCATGTTTCACTCCTCCCTGGTCTCTTTCCCAGACATACATAATCAATCACTGACATCAACCCTAAGCTATGAATACCACTCTGCCAGTTACTCTCCAATCTCATGACCGTTTGCTGACCAGGGCCATTGATATCATTTGTGTATGGGGAGGAGGGTTTGTGTGCACATGTGTGTATAAAGGTGAGAGTCATGTCAGGTGCCTTACTCAACTGCTCTCATGTTTCTTTTCATTTTGATTTTTG